ATTGCTACTAGCTAGCAGCTGGTTTCTTCTTGCACTGCAATTGCGAGCCTTGATTAGTCTTTTTACGTTGTAGTGTTGCCATGGTGTTTCTTAGCCATAGTTTACAGACCACTATCTAGTATGCCCAAATATCTAATATCTAGTTTACTACATGGAATTCACTCTCTGATGTCATATTATTAAATATCCAGAGGTGTGCACGATCGCCATGCAATTGTTTCGTCCTTGTTGCACATCTATAGCCCTTCCATGGAAGACAGTAAATGATGCCGTTCACTGCTGTTTGCTCAGCAGTGGAGTTGTCCACGTATGCCCAACACGGTTCCCAGGCGTTTTGCCCAGTTGGGTTGACAAACTTACTGCTACTCATCATAAAAATGTATAATCTGATTGGTCACGGCTATGAATACTAATGACATCTACTCGAGAATGCAAGACAGACTTACCTGGAACAGCTTGGCTCTCATGGCTCCCTGTGACACTGGTTCTTCCAGGGAAAGCATATAAGCAAATGTGCTTGTCAGCATAGAAACATGGCAATTTTTCGACGAATTACATTCGATACTGTGCCCCATTTTTGAAGCTATTTGCTTTTGCATAGGCAGCCCATGTTGCAGCATTTATAACATGCAAAATACGTAACTAGTCTATCAAGCTAGACCCTCTCTTACATGCATGTTAATTATAAGCGCATGCAAACAGACCGGAGAGGGTCTGGCAAGGCTTTAATTTTAAGCCACATTGCGAATGGTGTACTGCACTTGTTGTTACATGCAGGCGGTAGATATTTTGGTGGCCTGCAAGAGCACCTTTAACGGGGGTAAAAATAATTTTAGATTTTTTGAACTTCATGGGTTGAATTCTACTATGCCAAGGAACAAGAATTTTAGGCTTTGTTTAATGACTTTAATGTACTCATAAGTTCATCAATACATTTCTATTGGAGCAGAGAAAATGTACGTTAGAAGTCGCGCACGCATTCGCGCAAATTGCGTTGCATGCGTTCTATGGTGTTAGTTTGACAACTTGTCAGGAGCCAAAAATTCTTACATGTCCTGTTCCATGTAAATGTAGCTGACATGCCTGAACATGGAACAGGACATGTAAGAATTTTTGGCTCCCAACAAGTTGTCAAACTAAAACCGTAGAACACATGCAACGCAATTGCGTGCACGACTTCTATTTAATCTTCATTTTTTCTGCTACCATAGGCACCCTAAATATAGTAATGAGTCATTAAAACAAAGCCCAAAAAGTCATAAAAATATATTTTTTCTTGTTCCTTGCATTCAACCCATGAACATTTCTTAAAACCCCCTCAATCCCTGTAAGTGCATAGTTTAGTATTACATTGAATAAGGGCAGTGATTCATGCTACATTTCACTCCCTACCAGGTTTAACTGAAGTGCCTACTGAACTTGATGTGTCCTATTTGAGTCAATCAGAAGATTCTGTAACTGCAAGATATGGATGGAAATATAGTGGAGATCTTGGATCTGTCTCCTATTTTCAAGTTGTGGTCGAAGTTAACAATGTGACACTATGCCAGAAGAAAGTGCTAAAATCAATTCAAGAGGTCACCTGTCTTCTCCCGTTCAAAGAGGGTGACAATTACACAGTGACTGTAGCTGTGGTTGATAACTGCAATATATCAGGTCCTCCATTGACAAAGATGTTTACGGCAGGTATGTAATGGTTTAACACTTGGAATGCAAGGGCATTCGCTTACTGGTATATTGTAGTTTGGTTGTATGAGTGCGTACAATTTTCATTTACGCTGGTGCCAAGCGTCTGTTGTCCGTTAACGGAGGTAGTTTTGTACGCGGGATGACCGTTTGGGACACGAGGTTTGTCCGTTATGCAAAGGTTAGAGGTGTCCGTATCTCAGAGGTAGAAATATATGGAGTGCATGCAGTTTTTGGCAGAGGGCACGCAGTTTGTCCGTTGTAAGGAGGTTGTCCGCTCTTCGGGTGTCCATTATTGTTCCACTGTAATCAAGTTTGCATCGTGCCATGGGCATTTTTACATTTACGACATGCAAAATAAGCTCTCTGGAATGTTGCCCCTATGATTTGCAGTCGAAATAGTCACACTCCACCCAAAGTTCTCATCAGTAAGTCAAGTAATGAAAAGCACTGAAGTGCAAACCCTCGGCGAACTGCGCATGCGCGGTATATTAGTATGCGGTCTCCCGCTAGTATAATATAGCTCGCAGAGAGTCTGACACGGGCTAGCTACAGTAGTAGATTAGCATGCGAGAGTCGATACACGCCCTTCGTTGTGACTTCTTGTGCCTTCAAAATACACAGAGCAAGCAGACCCGGTCCGGTGCTAAATATAAGCGCATGCGCATTTTCCGGTTCCGCAGCAATAAAAATGGCCGACTACGCATTAGCCGTACAATGGTGGAAGCGCTCTAGCTTTGCAACGGAGCGTTTTCAGAGTTCGAAATTTCTTACCTTCATTGCCCGTTCGGTAGGTGGTATCCTTTGTGAGACGAAAGAACGAGATGAAGAGTAACAGACACACAGACAGACCCAACTACTGTAACCCTCGCTGCGCATGCGCGCCGAGGGTTAACAACAACCTTGTGTCGTTTAGCTGCTGACAAACCCTCAATTTTATAGTGGGCAAATTGAGAGCCTGTCTATAGTCAAGCCTGAAATATATTATTTTCTTGACACTACAATGTGATTATTATTACAGTTCATGTGTAATCTGATTCACAGCTGCATTATCTATCTGAGTACATAAAAACACCCCATTTGAACCACTATGCCCTACATAAAAGAGCAAACTTTGAGATTAATGATCTGACCACTATTTTGTTGTTCTGTGTTTACTCAATCCTTTATCCAACCAACACAAGTACATGTATAGTGTTTTACTCTACAGGTTTCGATCAGTTAAGCAGGACTGATGGTGGTTCATGCCAATGCAGAGGTTGCCTGGTCTGGATAGCAGGTATACACACTTTGAGCATACACTCCAGCACGGCCTAACTCTTAGTGTGAAGCCCAATCAGTATTGTGAGGCAGCTTCCATAGATGCTTGTAATAGGCTAGCCAAACAATATTTTGTCACCTGTCTGATAAGAGAAAATTAGTTGGCAGGCTCTGTAGAAGTAAATAGTATAATATTTGAAACACCATCATAGTGGGCCTAATGGCCGAGTTCCTGTTTCCACGTTGGGAACTTTTGGCTCCATTCTTCATCATCACAGTCATGCCCTTAGCTCTCCCAGCCTTTCTTAAACACCTTTCTGTTTTTCCAGCACTTTCTAGCCTGCTTCGAACCATTCACATAGTAGTGCCTAACCCCAGTCTCTTATAGGCTGCTCTTTGGCATGAACTGGCAAATAGGGGGAAAGCAGACACATACAAATGCAGGTTCATAACATTCATTTCAAAAACTGATCTGTTATTCTTGTTTCAGTTTCTATAGGTTTACTTTTGTTGGTGGCGGTGCTGGTGATGGTAATTATTGTTGCTTTGTGTTGGTGTTCGAAATGCAGGAGAGACAAGGTATCACCGGTACATAAACACCACAGAAGGAAGCATCATTATATTTGTAGCACTGTAACATCTACGAAACAGGCATAACATAAGCATATGTGTGTAAAGCCGGCAGCTTGGCTACAGCTGTGATTACACATGGAAATTATGAGACATTCACATGTCCTTTATGAACTCTGGGATGCTTTCTGTGGCTAAAATACATAGCCATTTTTCTCTCTTGTGCAGTATATAAATAGTGACTGCAAGCATAACCTCCTAGTACTGCGCATATCTTTGCTATACAACGGCATTAAGTGCGACGAAAATCGGCTACCACGAGTTTTGCCATGCTTCCAAACACTTGTGAAGGTAAGTTGTAGGATCCTAGTCTAGCAAACAGTAACTGAGAGTCTGGCTAGTGAGACTTATTTACCCTCGGCGTGCATGCGCAGCGAGGGTACGGTAGTTGGGTTGTCCGTCTGTCTATCTGTCCGTTACTCTACATATCACTTCTCGAGTGTTTGTTTGTCTCACAAAGGATATGACCTACTTAACGGGCAATGAAGGTCAGAATATTTGTGCGGTTTTCTCTGAAACTGCTCCGTTAGAGCGCGAAAAAGCCAATATGCAAATAGGCTTACCACAGTCTGATCGATCCGCATGCTCTGCATACCTCGGAGGCACCAGAAGATGCAACGCAGGGCGTGTATTGCCTCTCGCATGCTATCTAGTAGTGTAGTTAGCCCGCGTCAGGCTCTGCACAAGCTGGCAAGAGACCACGAGTAACAGCTAAAACTAAACCCAGCCCATCAATTAGTGGTACCGCACATGCATTTACTCATGTGTGCGCGTCACAATTAGCCGAGGGTTTGTACTTCAGTGCTTTTCATTAATTAATAACCACATTTTTGCTTCTTATGGTAAATTAGGAGAGTGTGTAGCTCGAAAGGATATTAACCACCTCTTGTGCTTCTGGGCAAGTGCACTATATGCTATACTACTGTGCTCTAGGAGAGCTACAGATTGTAGGCAGTTGAAAAGAGTCATTGTCCAACGTGAGAGAATAGTCTTACCCCTTAGCAGGGGAGATCATATGTAAATACATGAGAGATGTGTAAGTACGTATGTAAGCGCTGGCATGGACAGCTTTCATTACCGGGTTACCTCAGATTAATTAGTCCGTGCATCTCGCTTCCGATACCACGTCTTGTAGACTGAAAGAATGGTGAAGAGCACGTATGTGATTCATTTTTAAAGATTTGGACAGTTAAATCATAATGTTTGTATATACTACTTAAAGGGAATGTGGCAGTATAATATAATGGCTAAATTTTACTAAAAACAGAACTCAATTGTTTTGTTCTATCTTTAGTAACATTTCTAAATTTAACCCTTCTATACTGCCACATTCTTTTTAACTGTGAACCACCTTTAACACCAGGTGTATATTTATAGCTGTAGTGATATTATATTATACAGTGCATACCCCTCCACTGCTGTAGGTGGAGCTAGCCGATAGCAAGAATGCAGCGTTGGAAGCTTCGGCAGCGTTGGCTAAAGAGAAAGAGAACAACTCTGCCCTACTGGCTGACATCAAGGTTAGTAGTTCCACATTATCCAATTGCATCGTTCCTGGAAGCTTACTGTCCACTCCCTACGTTGTTGTAACACAAAAGGGACAGAGTCTACTCTATACTAAGTACCACATTATGTGTTAAGGGGGTACGGAGTTTGCAGCCATGGCTCCATGATTTTTCTGTTCATGTCCTCTGCTGTGCACTGTGCCAGATTGGTTGATTAACCCTCGGCGTGCATGCGCAGCAAGGGTTACTGTGCTTGGTTTTGTAAGTGTGTCTGTCTGTCTGTTACCGCATTTTCTGCCACCACGTGCAATGAGACAGCGAAAGAGCGACACCAATGGGTTCAGCGCTACACTGGCTTGATTTTAAATTTGTCGTGTTTTCATAAAAACACTGCATTCAAAAGTTACAGCCTGAAAACCAAGTGAGCAAGCCAATATACAAATTACTACTGGCTTACCTCGACTGCATTTGGCCAGTTTCCGTACTGTAGAGGCATCAGAAGTTACACCAGAGGGCAACAGTCGAGTCTTGCGATGCCTATAACGGTATCTACTGCTAGCCCCTGTCAAAAGCTAGCGAAAGATGGTTAACCTGAGATACGTAATCAGCGTAGCCCCGCCCATCAATTATACTGACCTGTGTATGCGTATACTGCGCATCTCCGCCTAGGGTTTGCACTTTAGTGCGTTTCGTTAAGTTAGATAATGTGGCCTTATTTTTTCCTTATAATTATCTGGGCACACTATGCAATTCTGAAATACAAAAAATTATGCCAGGAATACTATAATTTCAGTGTATATTGTGTATTCGATTTTGTGATTTTGAGGTTCATCACAATGTTTTGCGATTTTAGTTACAAAAAAGATTGTTTTGAGTCATGCTGATGTGTATGTAGTCACCAAGCACACTGTGATATGGGCCTCTAGCCTTTTGTGATGCCTGTTTTTTTGGCTACAACTAGCTGCTTTCCCAGTGCATGCGTTTTACGTGTAACGTGGAGGACGCTTTGCTATGGGTGTAATGTATTGTGATGAGTTGTGATGAGTGCTGCACTCGCAAAACTCTACCAAAGGTATGGACTAATACAAATTATATTTAACCCTTTGGATGCCATGGGTATCTGCTTAAATAAGCAGAAATTGGTGTATAAGGTATTGGTATAACCCACATACATATGGACTTATGAAGGCTCTGGACACATTTGTGTCTGTGGCTGGTTAAGTGTTAAGGGTTGATTACCCAAGCAGAAGAATACCAAGTACACTACGGCAGCTCTCTACGTTATGGCCTTTACTCCACTAAACAATCAATGTACTTTTTCAATGGTTCCTTTTGGTATCATGAGACTATGGTGTTTTGTATATATAGGCAGCCCACAGTAATGAGATGGAGAGAGAGAGGGAGAGAGCCAGGGAGATTGCCGCTGCTCTACAAAAGGAGAGACAGAAGTCTAAGGTCACAGTCAGAACTGTATATATCACTTAAGTACGGCAGTACTGGATGGGCATGGTACCTAGCATCATAGATGACTTGTATGTGGGGAGTTTTGTTCATCTTTTTTAACCCTCGATGCGCATGCGCAGTGAGGGTTACAGTACTTGGTTTGTCTGTCTGTCTGTCTGTGTCGACGCTTATTCTGCCACTACCTGTAGGCTACGACGTGGCCAATGAGCGACACCAACGGCTTCAGAACTATGCAAACCTGAAAAACAAAAACTGCGTTTGATAGGTATGCCATGAAAACAAGCGAAAAAGCCAATATCCGTAATCGAACTGGGCTTACCGCGACCTTGGCAGCATAAGAAGCCCAAACAAAGGGCGTGTATCGACTCATGCTATCTTATAGTGTAGCTAGCCTGTGTCAGTCTCTCCGGCGTAGCTATATGTGGGCATATAGCTACGCTGGAAGGCAGCGGCCTTGACTGGGACTGTGTACGCACCTTGCTAGAAAAACGACTTACCGATTTTTGTAGTGATAACCCAGCCCATCAGTTAGAGGTACTGCACATGCGCAGTGCGCCGAGGGTTTGCACTTCAGTCCTTTTCATTTTATGGGGTCTGGATACCTGGGACTACTATAAATGTGTTTTGTGATATTATAGGTGCAGTATATAAAGGATCACCCTGCCAAGTCACCCCCACTGAATGATATTTCCCCACTGCAGTCTAACCAGCTGTTGCGTATTTCCAGTTCTGAGGCATCCTCTCCAAAAACTCCTGCCTCATTTAGCAGTGGAGACTCGGTGAATGAGCCACTTCTTCCCAAGAACAATTAATTATACTCTTACCAGGTCCGTAAGACAGCCGCACTTCTTCTCATGCTTCTATTAATGTATAGACAGCCACTAGTAAACAAACATGTTTGTAGCTTAGTTAGTTACTGAGTGTTTATGACAATAGGTGCCGATGTTGGACCATGCTGTTGCAATAATATTGTACTGTAGAACACACAAGGATCAATTATTGGCAAGCGGGAGCAAGCTAACCTAGTGGTCCGAACGGTGTGCTAACACGGTGGACTCTAGGGATTCAATACCATAAATCTTGCACTTGCCCCACGGCGCGCATGCGCAGCGAGGATTACAGTAGTTGTGTGTCTGTCAGTCCGTTAGTCAACATTCAATTTCAAGAGCCATCAATCGCTCCAAAAAACAATAATATACCACATATTCAGCGTCGGAAAAACGAGCGGGAAAGCCTAATTAACCCTCGGTGCGCATGTGCGCAGCGAGGGTTACAGTAGTTGGTTTGTGTGTCTGTGTGTCGACGCTTATTCTGGCACTACAGGCTATGAGGCGGCCTATTAGCGATACCAGCGGCTTTAGAAGTACGCGAGCCTGAAAATTAAAAGATATGCCGTGAAAACAAGCCGAAAAAGCCAATAAGCAGTATCGCGCATGCGCAGTTCGCCGAGGGTTTGCATTAGAACCGAGCGGGTCTGTTTGCAAGAAGTCACAACGAAGGTTGTATCCTGGCTAGGCCTAACATCAAAAGCGCACCGCGGTATGAATTAACTGCTGCCCGTATATACCGCCCACGCGCAATAATGAATAGGGAATGCAATTAGTTGATGCGCGCATTTGTATAGCAGAGAGGGTTCTTCTGCCCACGCGCAATGCATAGGGAAGTGTATCAGGAATGAAATTAGCATGAGAGAGGAATTTACACGGTACAGTGTATGTATACGCAGTCAAAGAACTCTACTAAACTAGAGCGTCAAATTGCGATCGAGCATGTAGCGCTGTAGACCACAGAGAATTTGGTGGATGTATTTTGGCGAATACGGCTTGCCACTCTTGTTTCGAATTTCGCCTACAAAAATAGATAACCAATAATTCAACTCTTCCACGTTAGCTTTCTCCAAAACATCACTCTGACGACTACCGTCTGAGACCATTGCGTTACGAACTAGCTACATCGCTGCGCTTTCGCTTTTTAGGAGATGAAGTCGGGGTCTCCCGCTAGCGCAGCCATTGCCAGCTGCAACTCAACGGACGCTAAACGTTTGACGTCACGTTGCCGTGGTGATTGTCCGTTTCCAGGATACAAGCTCAATCCCTACCACGTGCTTATCGGTATACACACTCAGTAACATTACATAAGCCCTCGGGCTGGCGCCCTCGGGATTATGTATTCGCGATAAACACTGAGTAGACATGTTCTTGTGTATGACTCCCTATCTATACGTAGCAGCCAGTGTCAGGCTCTCCGTGGGCTACTAGCCGGAGACAGCCAGTTCTGACATACGTTCGACTATTCACCAACCACCCACAAAGACACAGACCAACGACAAAGTTGACGTTTCACTCGACTCAAGGCATCCTCTAACTTTTGCACTATTGCATGACAGGGGAACAGTGCAACTAGCAGAAGCAGTGGCTACGACGACAGGAGTAGTGTGTGTAGTGTGTTGCTTCACTGCTGGACTGCTACTTGGTGTTCTACTGACTCAATGTCATGGTCACTGTCCTGGTTATGAGGACATTTCCTTGGAGAAGACACCTCCCATTGAAGTCAGCACCATGCAATCTTATGGAAGATGATTGTCATGTCTTTACTGACTTCACCTTTCACAACATAAAAGCTCAGCTGTTTACATAACAAGAAATTGTTGCTGTTAATTTCCTACAAAAAACATTGATGTAAAGTATATCCTGGTAAGATTATACCTTGCACTACATAATCACTCAATAAGTGCAAACCCTCGGCGAACTGCGCATGTGCGGTACCACTAATTGATGGGCTGGGCTCCTCTACTCGCGGTATCCCGCTAGTAGCTTGCGGAGAGTCTGACACGGGCTAGCTACAGTAGTAAATAGCATGCGGGAGTCGATACATGCCCTTCGTTGTGACCTGTTGTGCCTTCAAGACACACAGAGCGAACGGACGCGGTCGGGGTAAGCCTGTGCTAATTTACATATTGGCTTGTTCACTTGGTTTTCACGCCATAACTTTAAAACACAGTAGTTTTACGAAAATCGCCTTTTTAAAAATCAACCCAGGTGTAGCACTGAACCCGATCATATCGCTATTTACCTGATTTCGTGCGCGCGGTGGCAGAAAACGTGGTATATATAACAGACTGACAGACAGACACACTTACGGGACAACTACCGTAACCCTCGCTGCGCATGCGCGCCGAGGGTTAATAAGCCTATAATTATATAGTCTTTGAAGAAGACTAGCTACCTAGTTATCTAAAATTTGTGTGATATTATTTCCATAACCATAATTATTGGGATCACTTTACCATAATGTATAATTATAATGTGCATAAAACCGGACACACTGTCTCACCACAATGCATTCATAACATATCAGTTTCCTGCTTGCACTGTTCCCACTTTCAGTAGGCATAATTATATAGACCGTTTGTTTCTCTCACTACCTTCATGTGTCTGCCCAGTGTTTTAGCCTATAGTTCCAAGAGAGAGAGAGAGAGAGAGAGAGAGAGCCGAGAGAGATGTAGAGAGAGAGAGATGAGAGAGAGAGTGGGTGTCCATGGTATGAGACTACTCGCGCAGGCGTTTGTCGGCTAAGGCGGTGGAATGAGCAGGGCGCATGCAGGCGAATCTTGATCCATGCATAACCGTTGCAATAGGGCTTGTTGTTTTTCTCTCTCAGCAATCCTCTTGTACACCACAGTGGCAGTAGAGTTCCCATCCCTCCACATGTTGAGAAGACCAATGGAGAGAAGGACGCATGTTCCACCTCGCGCACCCTCTCATCACACTCTCTTCTTTTCTCATTTTTCTCATTGCGACGGTAGCATTGGGGTAGGGATGAGTTGCGGTAGCTTTGTGCGAAGGGATTGAAAACCCGCAAGTACAACTCCCGAGTACAAAAGCAGCTATATAATTATCCCTCGGCTCGCATGCGCAGCGAGGGTTGTTTGTCTGTCTGTCTGTGTGTGCGTCGACGCTTATTCTGGCACCACAGGCTACGAGGCGGCCTATTAGCGATACCGGCGGCTTCATAATTGCGCGAGCCTGAAAAAAAAAAGGGCTGAAACGACAGCGTTCGAGAGATGTGCCGTGAAAACAGGGGAAAAGCCAATATGCATTATCGCACTGCGACCTGATCCGCTCGCTCTGCGTACCTTGGGGGCTCAAGAAGACATAACCAATCGACGCCCGCATGCTATCTACTACTGTAGCTAGCCCGTGTCAGACACTCCGCGAGCTACTAGCGGGCATACAGCCGGCCCAGCCCACCAATTAGCATTATCGCGCATGCGCGGTTCGCGGGGGGTTTGCACTTTAGTGCTTCTCATTATCTATCGGCACCATTAATTTTGAACGAGGACGCGGAATCCAGTGAAATTTTTGCCGACTTATACGATCACAATTCAGTCGCGTGGAGAATAGGCACGTTGAGATCGGAGGATCAACACCACGCGCACAGAAAAGCACTTGGCGTCCCTGTGGCCGTAGCTATGGACAGAGTGTCTGGTCGCCGGAGAGCGCACGCAACACTATTACACATGCTCATGGTAAGAGCTTTTCTTCCCACTTCTATGCCTCTTGGAACCTTTTTATGCAGGTGTATGTACCATGTCTATCACTAATCAAGTCACTGAAAGGTTTGCAAGAGCTGAAGGTTATCTGTAGCTGTGTAGTTTCAATCTTTAGTTTAGTTTTCATCTATTTCAGTCAGTGACTGATCCATACCACTGTAGGTGTCCAAGGTCTGTCCCTGTCTTCCTCTCCATCATCTGAGGATGGTATCATATCAGTCTGTCCTGCCACCACTGTCACCCTCGCCTGTACTGCCAGTGGAGTTGTGGCTCTGGGATGGAGAAACCAGAATGGTGCAATACGTGGATTCAGTGCCAGTGATCCAGAGTCCATGGTGATAGAAGAAGGTCCCTACACTCTGACTCTAGTCTCAGTAGACAATGATGATGGCGATTCTGATGCTGACTTAACCTCTACACTGGAGGTGATGGTGGATGACATCACCAATGGAACTAACATCTCCTGTGTTATAGTCGGGAATCAGATACACCTGGTCATCTATAGAATAAGTAAATAGCTAACAAAAATGTATTGTTATTCCTTTGTGTGATGCTCTTTGTATAATTATTGTCTGTAGGAGCACCACCTGCTCCGTATAATCTGATGGCAAGGACAGAGAATTTCCAACCTGACAACTTCTCCATCATCATCTCCTGGGAGTCAGGGGAAGATGAAGTGGTTGATGAGTACAGAATACTGCCCACCCACACCACTACACAGTCCATCAACCACTCACCACTACAACTGTACGTTCTAGACGCGTGTACAACATTCCTCTGGAAATCAGAGTCTCAGCCATCAACTGTGCATGGCACTAGTGCAGAGGTCACCGAGGAAGTCTTTGTTGGCAAGTTGTCTCACTAGTGAAGAGATAACTGTTTCCATTGGCTCTCTCCCTCAGCTGGCTGTGGTCCTCCCAGTCCACCAGTGAATGGCAGTGTTGGTGAGGGACCAGTTTCCGAGTAGGAGCACAGGTCACCTACTCCTGTGACACCCACCTGGTTCTGGTGGGAGAGACTGTGGCCACATGCTCTCTCCCTTCTCTAACATGGCTGCCTAGTAGTGGTGATGTCACCTGTATACAGCCATCTGGTATGTGTTTATTTTTGCTCATTAATTCTGTATTAGTATCATTTCAACAGAATGTAACGCGACGTTTGACCTCTTACAAAGGAACCTATTGTTTAATGTAGTGAATCAGTCGTTTTCCTGTGCTGCTGGTTATTCTAGCTCAGACAGTCTTCAGTCCAAGTGTGTATCTGGAGAATGGATTATCTACCCAAGCACTATTATGTGCATTGCTGACGAATCATCGATCACACAAGAACGTAAGCATTACCTCAATACTTTAATTAATTTTTAACTGTTAATTAATCAGCACCCTTGACTCGTGGTGCAAGTATGACACAAAGATGTACAGCGGTACCCAACAGAAGTTCTCTGAGTACAGCAGAAGCAGTGGCCACAGCAGGAGTAGTGTGTGGTGTGTGTTGCTTCACTGCTGGACTGCTACTTGGTGTCCTACTGACTCAATGTCATGGTCACTGTCATAGGAAGGGGAGGAGAGGCCAGACTGAGATACCTCCTGTTTATGAGGGCATTCCCTTGGAGAAGACACCTCCCATTGAACTCAACACCAATGAAGCTTATGGACCTATCGCAAAATAACCTATTCATGTCTGTATTTCCCACTCTTTCCTACTATATAACAACACTGAAAAATCCTGCCATTTCCTAGAATAACATGCCTTACTCTCTTGTCATCACATCTAAATGTTCTATGTAGGGAAAGCCGCGGGTAAAATCTCACGTGATCCGATACTTGACGACAACATGGCCCTAAAAACATACTAGCAATAACCCACGGGCCCTTATATAGCTACCTAGGAATTGAAGAGAGCCCACTCACTTGAGTCATCCTCTTCTCTCTCCTCCTTCTTATATAATATACACGAAAAAAACACAAGTTGGAAAAAAAATACAAAGGAAAACCAACTGCACTAAGTGCAGACCCTCGGCGAACTGCGCATGCGCGATACTGCTAATTGATGGGCTGGGCTATTTGTATGCCACTAGTAGCTCGCGGAGAGTCTGACACGGGCAAGTTACAGTAGTAGATAGCATGCGGGAGTCGATACATGCTATTCATTGTGACTTCCTGAGCCCCCAGTATACACAGAGCGAGTCGCGGTAAGCCAGTGCGATTATGCATATTGGCCTTTTCGCTTGTTTTCACGGCATATGCAGTCGTTTCAGGAAAAACATTTTCAGGCTCGCGTAGTTCTGAAGACGTCGGTATCGCTCACGGGTCGCCTCGTAGCCGTAGTGCGAGAATAGCTGCTGACAGACAGACACACACACACACAGAGAACGACTACCGTAACCCTCGCTGCGCATGCGCGCCGAAGGGTTAATCACTTCTCTAAGAGGCTTAATAATTGGAATTTGGATGCCTCCCATTAAAACCTTTACAAGAAATGGAAACCATTGTTCTATACAACTTTGTTTTTTTGTACATGCCCAAAACACTGTATTCACAGCACTCCACGATGAATTCCTCAGCAATTTTTCAATAATTTTTCAGTAGCTAAACCACCTTGCAAAGATGTAGGGATGGTGATGGGGTTATGATAAACTTCTGCCTAGGTGTATAATTATAGGCATCCTATTTTTTCGTTTCCCTACATTCCAGTCACGACTTTCCATATGCATTGAGTATCCTCTGTCTCCTTCATCCTCGTAAATATGGCATAGACAACCTCTCCATCGTCATGCATTACCTGGAGGGGCCGGGAAGATGCGGAACTCTCACCATGTGACTTCATCGCTGCAGAAAATTTGCAGACAGACCTGTTGCTATAGGCTGTTTTTATTACACTGTAAAAGGCTACGAGTATGAGTAAATGTATGCAGTGAGCACTGGCACGGATAGTTGGTGTCAACTTCTGCAGAGTGCGAGACCAGTTTATTGCATGGTGGATAGAACATGCAGCGTCTAATGTATGGACTGTTGCACTGACTCAATATCATGGTCACTGTCATATGAAGGGGAAGAGAGGCCAGACTGAGATACCTCCTGTTTGTGAGAACATTCCCTTGGAGAAGACACCTCCCATTGAACTCACACAAACAATGTTTAGTTTTGTACACAGTCTATTCCCAAAACCAATAAGCAATCACAAAGAATAGCTAATAGAGCACACAGGGGATCAAGCAAGGTTCATTTGTTTGGAGTCATGTGTCCATAAGCAGGGTTGTGTTGTGTGGTGGTGGGTAGAGAGTGAGAGGCTCCATAAGCCACGTTCTCACTGGTGTCTGGACCAGTGGGTGTCACCACATCACTCACTGTCTCATACACCACTGCTGGAGGTCGGGACTCACGAACAACACTGTGTGTGTTGAGGGAGGAAGCGTGATACAATAACACGGAGTGAAAGTTAGTGTAAACATGTATGTTTTTCCCTCTCTACAAGAAAAATGTATATTTTTAACCTTGGATTTACAAACAGGAGCATATTCACTAAGGCCAACATATACACAACACGAGCTTGTTGCGTAAGACAAAGTTCTCATCCAACTTCACTCTATGGGTATGATAGGTTCATGAAACATGTTGCAAATAGTCTGAAACATGTTGCCTGTACCCATCATACCTGAATACATAGAAGTTCCATGTCACACGCAACAAAGTTGTGTGGCCTTTTAACCATACGCAGATTTTATAAGTGGCTCAAATGCAAGTGCAACAGGCGACAGAGCCTTATTAACTAACTGTGGTCTATCTGTTGAGTTGCAAGCTATGGCCTTGGGATGGATTCAAGAAAAAAGAGTGTCATTCTCTGGCAAAGAGAAATCCCACTGACAGTAATACGTAAATCAGTACAGTATGACACACAGACATACTTTGTTGCACTCAGCTCTGTGTCTCTGTTGGAGGTTCCTACAGGGTGCATGGTCACGTCAAAAGAATGTCAGCTTCATTAATATACCATACCTTTGGAAGCTCTCTTCCTCATGATAACCAACAGCACAGTGACTGTCCCGACCACCCCAGAAATAAGTCCAACTATATACCACTCCTACAGCCACACCAGCACCAACTCCGATTGCTATGTACATGACATCTGAATCTGCAGTCGGTTTAACAGCCTCAGTCACACCTACATCACCTATTATGTATACAATCTCACATCACACTCTGTCATTCTATGACTTAGGGTTTTGGTGTTGGAGTTTTTTTACTTGCAGTTAGACAGCTTTTTCTGTTAACTATATAGAGTGGGGTCATTATTGACACTTTGTAACATACTAAGTCTTACGTGTAATGGTAGTTGTTTTGTTACAGACAGCACTAGAGAATGTCACAGCAATTTCCACTGGTCCAGTCTCAGAGTAGTCTAATGTCAGTAGATGAGAGTCTTCAGAACTACCTCTCTCATAGTGTCTGGCTCCACTGCTGTGGACCCCACGCCAACTGATGGTTGTGTTCACTGGTTCTATGACGTGGTTGCTCTGGAAAGGACCAAAAATTATGTGTCTGTGTTCCTACATTTACTAACCTTCCAGGTGACATTGATGTGACCACATTCCTCTTCAACAGCTCTTACATTCTCTGGAAATGGCAAACCAGTAAAATGTTATATTATCTTCAGTCAAACAAATTTTACTCACATGTATGCTTACGGCAGTCAGTGGCGATGCTTCCATTGAAGATAAAACTATCAATGACACGAGTCACACCATGGACAGTGAATTTATAGTCATTCACATTGCCTGCAGTTTCTTTCACTGAATCACTGGTGACTTAAAACGAGACTTCCTCTCTTCACTGACAGCAGTGACCACATAATAGCCACACATTCTCCACCATACACTGAGACGGAACTGACCACCTGATGGTAGGTCCCACACCACTGACAGACTAGTGGGAGATGAAGCTGGACCTGCACACAATGAACTGTGTATAACACAATCTCTCTGACAGGAATGGATTTACCTACAAGACAGATCTTTGTAGAATCATTACGTACTTCGGTTCTATTTTCTCTTCTATAATGAATTGAGCCTCTGCAGGTGAGTATAGTTCCATTTGCAAACACGTTTGTTACAAGAAGGGTAGAAGTGTAGTTGTCAGATCATCAGTTGCTATGGAGCCCATAAAAGTCACATAAATCATCAGTATAAGTCTTTATCATCGCATCTGAAATGTGTACATTGCAAAAAGTCCATCATTTTCGTAAATTGAGTTTCCAGTTTATCTTTCTCGCGAATGTTACTCGCACCCATAGCTTTTCCCAGAACATATGCAGTCTTGAAGCTTCCGGTTCGGTAGAGTTGAACCACCCCGACTCATGTCAAATCCACGCGGCTGGCTCAATGCAGCAATGCTGTGTTGAGGGATCAACCACAGCTATATAAACAACACGATCTATGGATGATGGGCAAGATCCCGAGGATAATACCCTTGATGTCGCCGTATCTGTTTGTGCACA